ACTACGACTACGACTACTACTACTACTACTACTACTACTACTACTACTACTACTACTACTACTACTACTACTACTACTACTACTACCACTCCCACCCTCCTCTTCCCCATCCTTCTCCTCCTAATCCTCCTCCTCCTCCTCCTCCACCTCCTGCTACTCCTCCTGTTCCTCCTCCTCCTGACATCCTCCTCCTGCTCCTCATCCTCCTCTCCATCCTCCTCTCATCCTCCTCCAGTTCCTCCTTCTACTTCCTCCTCCTGTTCCTCCTACCTCCTCCTCCTCTCCTTGTTCCTCGTCATCCTGTTCCAGCTCCTCCTCCTGCTCTCTCCTGCTTATCCATCCCCCCCTGCCCTTCTCCTCCTCTCTCCTCCTCCTGTTCCTCCTGTTCCTCCTGTTCCTCCTCCTCCTCCCCTCCCTCCTCCTCCTCCCCTCCTCCTCCTCATCCTCCTCCTCCTCCTCCCCCTCTTCCTCCTCCTCCTCCTCATCCATCTCCTCCTCCTCCTCCGCCTGCTCCTCCTCCTCCTCCTGTTCCTCTTCCTCGTCCTCTTCCTCTTCCTCCTCTTGTTCCCACCTTCCTCCTTCAGCTTATGCAGCATTCTTGCGCGCACGAAGGGCGGCCTCCCTCGAGCATGAGAGAGTCAAAGTCGTCGAGGGCGTCGTCTGCCATGTCCTCCTCCGACTGGACCTGCGACGTCCAGGGGCTCCCAGGGCTCTGAGACCTCCGAGGGCCCGTGCGCTTTGGAGACGCCCAGGCCGGCGCGCCCTCCTCGGCCGCGTCCTCCCCCAGCAGGGCCCCCCTGCCGTGCGGCGAAGACAGGCTCTGACGCGGCAAGGGCGCCGCCGCGCTCCCGATGGGATCGCCGGCGCACACGCTGGACACCGTGCTGCGGCTGGTCAGGGAGCACGCGTCGAGCGCCTCGCCGTCGCTGCGCCTCTTCTGCGCCGCCAGACGCTCGCGGAGGCCAACGCCGGCGGGGTGGGGGCACGCCTCCGGCAGGAGAGGAAGCGGCATAAACATGCAGGAGGTCCACGCGGCGGCGCTGGGCCCCCCTGGCGGCGCCTCTGGCGCCGCCCCTGAGGCGCCCTCCGCGGCGCCAGGGCAACGGGGGTCCAGCGCCGATCCGAGAGGTCCGCGCGGGAGCTCCGAGAGAGCATGCTTCTGCCGACTTGGTTTCTTCGTCCTCGAGCCGTGGGGCTCACGCCGCCGCTGGAGAAGGACGAGCGGCACTCCGACCGCGGCGAGGCGCCGAAGGCCTGCGCGAGGCCGCAGGCCGATCTGCGCGGGGCCTGCGCGGGCGCGGAGTCGTCGGCCGGGCCCGCGGGAGGCACCTCTAGGCCGGGCTGCACCTCGGAGCCCGCGGCGGTTGAGCCCAGGGCGGGCTCCGAGGGCTCCCTCGCCGCGGGGCCGCACCCGTCCTCGGCATCGCCGGAGAGGCTCGCCAGCACATCCCTCGCGTGCTCGACGAGCTCGCGGTCCTTCGAGAAGTCCAGCCTCCCTGCCTCCCCCAGCGCCAGGAAGAGGTCCTTTTGTGTGGACGCCCGAACTAGCTACGGAGACAATGGGCACGATGCCCAGCAGCGAGTGCTGTTCAGAATCGGCAGCGGCCGCTGCTTGGCAGGTGAAAAATCTCGTCTCGGATGCACGACGCCCGCGGCGACGCCGACGCCCCGTCCTGCACAACATGGGCAGGCACTGCTGCCGGCAGGCGCCCGCAACATCGGGCCCAAGGCGTCGCCAGAAGGTGTTCACAGCCTCGGGCCCCGGAGGTCTCGAGAACCCACTCCCCGGGGCCAGCTCGGCTTCCCGAGTCGGTGTCTCCACGGTCCTGGGGCCCGGCGAGGGCTCGATCGAGCACTGCCCGGCGCAAAAATTTGTGTCACGACCCGAGGAGCGCATTGTTTTTTTTCACTCGCGGCCACAGCGGGCGTTCTTTTAAAAGGGGGAGGGGGGGGGGGGCGGAAGGGGGCACGACGCAGCGCCCCCCCCCACACCTCCCAGACTGCGGTGCCGAACGCACTGCGACGGTGCCGGGGGCGCACTGATGGGGGGGGGAGGCGTCACGTTGTGCGGGGGGGGAGCGTCGCGTGATGCGGGGGAGGGGGGGGGGGAGGGCAGAGGGCATCACGCGCGCTATGGCCCAGAGGGTAACACAACACACTCCTCGAGGGGCCAAGACCCCCGACGTCATGCTTTCATCATGACACCGACCTCCTCCTCCTCCTCCTCCTCCTCCTCCTCCTCCTCCTCCTCCTCGTCCTCGTCCTCCTCCTCCTCCTCCTTCTCCTCCTCCTCCTCCTCCTCCTCCTCCTCCACTTCCTCCTCCTCCTCCTCCTCCTCCTCCTCCCTCCTCCTCCAGGTTTCGACCTATTCCCTGGGACCGGCTTTTCATCCTGAGTCGTTTCTTAACAATCCCGAGGCCCGGTAAGGGCCCCCAGAGGCCGAAAGTGACGGAAAAACTCCCGTCGTGATTGGTCCATTACTCGAGGGGGTCTGGGGGTCTAGGTTCTTTCGAGAGAGCGCGTTTCACGGGCGCTTGCCTTAGGAACATTCGGCGGCGCGTTTCGAACCAGGGGGGGCCCCCCCCCAACACTTGGCGCCGTCGATCAGAACCAGGGGGACTCCCCTCCCCCCTAACCCACCCCCTCCCCAACCCCTCCCCCCCGGCGCCGGCGCCAGCGCTGGCGTTGGCGGCGGCAGCGCCGACGGCGGGGACGCAGCAACGTTGACCAGAGAGGACACAGGGATGGGAGGGGGGGGGTCCAACTCCCCCCCTGGCGCCGGAGCCAGCGCCGGCGCTGGCGGCGGCCAGCGGCCAGCAGCGCCGACGGCGGGGACGCAGCAACGATGACCAGAGAGGGCCAAGAGGCCGCACAGGGGAAACACAAAGCGCCACATCGAGCCCTTGCCCCCCAAAAGCCACCGAGAGGCCCTTAGAAAGGTCCAGGAGGCTTCACAAATGCTGCTCAGACGCCCCCGAGAAGCCTCCGACGAGACCTCAAGAGGCATCCATTAGAACTGTGACCCAAAGCCAAAGCACGGTGGCAGGAAGAACCGAAGGCCACACCACCACCAAAACCACAAACCACCACAACACCACCACCATCACAACCACCACCACCACCACCACAACCCACTATCACGACAACCACCACCATCACCACAAACCACTACACCACCACCACCACCACCACCACCACCAAAAACGACACCACCACCACCACCACCACAAACCACCACAACCCACCAAAACCACCACAACCACCACAAACCACCACACCAACACCACGACCATCACCACCACCGCCACCAGCACCACCAACACCAAAACCCACAACCACCACAACCACCACAAACCACCACACCACCACCACCACCACAACCACCATCACCACAACCACCACCACCACCCACCACCCACCACCACCACCACCACCAGCACCAGCACCACCAGCACCACCACCACAGCCCACCACCATCACCACCACCACCACCACGACAAACCACAACGCCACCACCACCACCGCCGCACCACTACCACCACCACCACCACCACCACCACCACCACCACCACCACAACCACCTCAACCAACCACCATCACCACAAACCACCACACAACCACCACCACCACAACCACAACAACCCACAACCACCACCACAACAACCACCACTACTACCACCACCGCCGCCACAATCTACCACACCACCACCACCACGACCGCCACAACCACCGCCACCACAGCCACCAGCACAACCCACCACCACCACCACCACAAACCACCACACCACCACCACCAACACAAACCACCACCACACAACCACCACCACCACCACCACCGCAAACCACTAAATCACCACCAGAACAACCAACAACCGCCACGACCACCACCACAAACCACCACACCACCACAACCACCACCCCACAACCACCACCACCACCTCCACAACCCACCACCACCACCACCGCAAACAACCACACCACAGCCGCCACCATCACCGCCACCACCACCACCGCAACCCACCACCACAACCACCACCATCACCACAAATCACCACACCACCTCAAACCACCACCACCACCACCATCCACCACCACAACAATCACCACCACAACAACCCACCACACCACCACCACCGCCACATCAACCACCACCGCAGCCACGACCACCACAACCCACCACCACCACCACGACAAACCACCACACCACCACCGCCAGCACCGCGACCACAACAACCCACCACCACCACAACCACCACCACCACCACCACAGCGGGTCCATTGGTAAAGGACAAGGAAAGTGCCTGCTCCGGCTCCGGCCCGAGCAGAGGGAGAGAGAACGGGGGAGGAAGGGGTTCGACCCCCCCCCCTCAATCACAGGAGAAGGGAACGGGGGGGGGGGTTCGAAGCCCCCCCCCTCCGTCACGGGAGAAGAGAGGGGGGATGGGAGGTCGAACCCCCCCCCCCGTCACGGGAGAAGGGAAGGGGGGGGGTTCGAACACCCCCACCCCCTCTTCAATCCAGGAGGGGGGACCCAAACGCCCACAGAACGTGCTTTTTCGTTCTTTCCCTACCCCTTTGACCCCAGACCCCCGACGTCATGATTTTTGCACGACGCCGACCCCAAGAGGGCTCGACCTGTTCCCCGGGGACGGGCCTCTCATCCTGAGTCGTTCTTTGACGGTCCCGAGGCCCAGCAAGGGCCCCCCGAATCCGAAAATGGTGGAAAACCGCCCGCCGTGATTCTTGTCGCTGCTCGAGGGGGGGTCTGTGGGGCTGCACCGATCCTTCTGCGACCGCCTCTGCGTGGCGTCCATCAGGCGCCCCCGGGCCTCGGCCCTCCGCACCTCCGCCTCCAGCGACCGGCGCGCCTCGGCCAGCTCCCGGCCCTCCAGGCCGGCGGCCGCCGCCTGCCGCAGGGCGCGCTCCAGGAGCGTCCTGCTCCGCATCCTCCGGAGGCGCGCCGAGCCCTCTGAATCGAAAGAGGCCTCACCGCCTCGTCAGTATGGATTGGTCCACTCACTGGAGGCATCCCAGGTGGGGTTCGAGTAGATGGGGTTCGAGTTCTCATCAATATGGATTGATCCGTATGGCTTGACCCACTCACTGGAGGCCTCCCAGGTGGGGTCCGAGTATAGATGGGGTCGGAGGATCGCGCCGCATCGCCGATGCATCGGCGATGCATCGCCGATGTATCGCCGATGCATCGGCCATGCACCGGCGACGTCGGCGACGCATCCGCGACGTCGGCGTGGGGAAAATCGGGCTCTGCACCGAGCCGCATCGGCGATGCATCGGCGATGCGGCGCGATCCTCCGACCCCATCTACTCCGACCCCATGTAGGAGGCCTAGACTCATGGATCCAATGCAATTTGTTTCGTATTCATTGTTTTCATTCCATGCGTAGCATGCTCTCCCCTCGATGGAGGCAAACATCACGACGGGAGGCGCTTCACGAGTTTCGGCCTCCTGGGGGCCCTCGCCAGGCCTCGGGGCCGTCCAAAAACGCCTCGGGATGAGAAACCGGCCCCCGGGGGAATGGGTCGAGACCTCGAGGAGGCGACGGCAAGAAAAAATCACGACGCCGGGGGTCTGCAGAGGGGAGAGAGGTGAGGGGGGGGCGGGCCTCCCCGGGGCTTCCCAGGGAAGCCCTCCGGCCTTCCCTGCGGCTGTGCGGAGGAGGCTGGGCTCGAGCTGCCCCGAAGAAGCCCGGAGGCCTGCAGAGCCCTGCTTCTGAGCCCAGACTTTTGAGACACGGGCCCCCGGCCTCTGGACCACTTCTGGGGGGACCGGCTCTTCAATTTTCGGGACCGGCCTTCCATCACGAGCAAATATTTGACGGCCCCGAGGCCTGGCAGGGGCCCTTCAAGGAGGCGACTCTACACACGGAGACTCTTCAGGAAATCTGCAAGCAGACCCGGTGCAAAATCCGGACCCTCTAGAAGGGGCGGGAAAAGCAAGCAAGCAAAACGAGATTCCAACATCAACCCCTTCAAATCAGCAAGCAAGCAAGCAACAACGTGTCTCCAAAGCCCGCTTTTACGGAAAAAGGGAAAAAAGCAAACGGACTCAACCTCCAAACGAACACGATGAACAGTCTGTCCCATTGCTCGTTCGCCACGACCCCTGCCGCGCTGGGGCTTCCACGCACAGCACCGTCTCGAACAACCGTGCCGAACGATGCGTTCAGTTTCTGCGTCGGCGCGCCCCGGCCGCCGGGGCCCCACACGTGGCCCTGCACGACGAGAGTGAACAGCGTGCTCAGTTTATGCTTCGGCGCGCCCCCACCGCCAGGGCCCCGCACACAGAAGCGCGCGACCGACCCCGTTCTCCTCTGGCGCGCCCCTGCCGCCGGGCCCCCGCGCGGAGCACTGCCCCGAAGGCCGATGACGAGTATTCCGCTCCATTTCTGTTTCGGTACGCCCCCGCCGCCGGAACCCCACGCGGAGCACAGCCCCGAACGGCAATGCCGGGTGATGCGTTAAATCCCACCAGCCCTCTGGGCGCAGGTGGTCTCGCGCGTTTCCTTTTCCAACCTCCTTCCTTTCCCTGCTCGGGAGGTTTACCCCCCCCTCCCTGGGTCAGGACGAGCTCCCCCGCGATGTGTCCAAGCGTCCTTTTTGGCCCATGATAGCTTCAAGAGGGCTTTAGGTAACCCAAGATGGCCTGCATGATCGCCCAAGATACCTCAAAATGGCTCAAGATAGCGCTCGACACGCATCCTAAAGGTCTCAAGACGGCTCCAAAACGGTTTCAAGTGCCCTCCGAGCCCTCCAAGGACCCCCCAAGAGGCCAAAATCCTTCAAAAGCCTCAGGACCATTTTTTTTGAATGCTTAACCTTCTCTTTGTTTCGCCTCCGATGGGCTCGTCAAGCCTCAAGATGGCCCGTATACGGCCTAAGCTAGCCTCAACAGAGCCCAAGAGGCCCCCAAGACGGCCCCAAGACCGCCCAAGCGTGTTCCAAGAGCGGGCCTCGAAGGCCCCAAGACAACCTTTTTGAGCCTCCGAAGGGGCCGCGAGAAATAAGACCCCCCCTCTTTTGAACAATGAGGCCCAAGACGGCCCCAAGAGGCCTCCCAGACCCCCCCAAAAAGCCCCAAGAGGGCTCCCAGACCCCCCAAGAGAGCCAGGGCCCAAAGAAGGCCCCAAGAGGACCCCAAGAGGGCCCAAAAATGGCGCCCAAATGGCATTACGAGTCTTCGAAGAATCCCTTCAACACGACATATCCCCAAAGCCCGCATCAGCAGCAGCACCGGCAGCAGCACCAGCACCTGAGCAATGTCAACGCGCACGCGAGTTTAAGATACACGTCAGTGCAAGAGCTAAGAGCTAAGATCAACGATGTCCATCGAAATACAAATCTACTCTGAGCAACACTGGCGTCGGATCGTAGATGCAGCAACCTGCGCTTCCCACAAGGAACACTATGGCGCATCTTGCACTGACTTTTCTCCGAAACTTCACTGCGCGAAGCTATTTGTAGTCCTTGTTTTCAGGCCACAGGTTACTGCCCACCCAGTTTGGACGCTTCCAAAACTGCTGTGCGACCGCGTGCTTCCAGGCGTCCCTGATTAACGAACTCACCTGGTAATCGTTTCTGGATGGGCTGGTGGGGATACTGTTGGACCGCGGGCGCGCGAAACGAATCGAACGCCGAGCCTGCTACGGCGGGCCGCGCCGTAAGCGAAGGGAAAAACAGCGCGCGACGGCACGCAAGGGCCGCGAACCGACAAGGCAGTAAGCGGCAGAAGAGCGTGCCGAGCACGAAGACCTTGTTTGTACCTGAGCGTGGCGAACACGCAGTGAAGAGTTTGCCGATGAGACGAACTCCACAGTGCCAGCGAAGAAGACGCAGCCAAAATGGCGCGGAAGCCGTGGCCAAAGGAGGCGGTGCGGAAGGCCACGAGGTAGGAGCCCAAGAACAGCGACCCAGTAGCCAAGTCCGAACTGCCTTGCCGTGCAGGTAGACCTTCAAAACGTCAACCGCCAAGCCACGCGCGCAATCCAGCCACTGAAGCAGCTGGCAAGTGAGGACGACCACACAGGAGCGTACCGATTTCAAAAATCCTTGTCGCACAGGTAGGACATCAGAGCCGTATGATGACACCTTGCGATACACGTGCGCGGGGGAGCGCTAAGGAACCAGGTGACCGCGTGGTGGCACAATCGCCCAGTAGCCGAAGTAAGCATCCCAGGCCTTGCCGTACCGGTAGAGCTTCAGGGCACCGCGCCAGCCCCGCGAGCGCGATCCAGAAGCTGGAGCGCACCAGGCCCGTGCAAGTGAGACGACTACAAGTGAGGGCCCAGGCGTGCCCGCCGCCAAGAAAACCTTGTCTTACAAGTACGACTTAAAAAGCCGTGGGCTGACACCGTGCGCGGGCCCGAGGGCGATGGGAGCACAGGAACCGAGTGAGCGCCGTCCGTCGGGTAGCCCGAGGATGGAGCGGCGGGGGGCCGTGGGCCGGTGCCCGCAAGTGCCTGTCAAGGAACGTATCGCCCAGGACGCAGCGACCACTGGCCCGGGTGGGGCAGCGCGCCCAGACCACCAGCATGAACCCTTGCGGCCATCACGTGGCGGGGCGGACGGGAGCGCAGCCCCTGGGGAGCTGGTGCCATACCAGCAGGATCAACAGAAAGGTCTAAATTTGAAGAGCGCTGATAGTTTTTTAGTCGTAGTTCTGGTAGCAGACCGATCTCAGCCGTCTGAATGCTTCCAACTTGCGCTTCCCAGCATTTCTTGTCGCTTGGTGTATATCTCAGCTCCGTATCTAGCCTACAGCTCGACTTGAATACAGAAAACAAGCATTCTCTCTCACAAAAATTGCAGAATCTTCGGCGAGGAATACCCGTAGTAAGCAGCTGATCCCTGCAAGCGCTTGCTGGTGAGGGCACGCGAAGCGTCAAGAAATTCTGCTTCGGTGCGTCCCCGCCGCCAGGAGGGCCCCACGCGGATCCCAGCCTCAGGGGCCTCAAGATGCCTCCGAAAGACCTCGAAATCGCCCGAGAAGGCCCCGAAGCAGTCGCAATGCATTCACAAGATGGCCTCAAAATAGCATGCTCCCGCCACAGGATAGCGAGCTGCTTCATGGCTCCCTGGAGCCCTCCAGTCCGCGAAGGCTCCCCAGAACCTCTCAAAGACTCGTCATGGCGGGTTCGCCAAGACTCCGCTGGCCGCTCAATGCCTCCTGAAACTACGCAGAACTCGCCGAGGCCTGCCCAGACTGCGCAATGCCTCCACGGACTTCTCGATGCCTGGGGCCCAGGGGTCGGCGGCAAACAGCCCCTTCAGGAATTGCTCCCCGCAGCCACCAGAGGCCCCGTTGGAGCCTCGGGGGAGATCGAGGGAGCCCCAGGGCGCCCCCCAAGGTGGCCCCAGAAGACCCGCAGATGCAGCAAAGCCACGGCCGCCAAAACAGCAAGCAAGCAAAGGGCCCTGACACCCTTGCCCCCTCCCCCAAAAAGCAGCAAGCAAGCAGACGCCGGGCCAGGCCCTTGCACCTGAAGGCCTGGGTCGCCTCCTTCGCGAGTGTTGCGAGACGCCGGACGCCGACGACCTCCGTCGCGAGTGTTGCGAGGCGCCGGGTGCCTGGGTCTGCCTCCCCCCCCCCCTGGGCTCCACGCCGATGTCCTGACGGCGCGCCCCAGCAGCGCGTGCGCCTCCTGCGCCTGCGGCACCCCCTCGGGGGGGCCACGGCCAGGGCCCTCGCACGGCCCACTGTCGCAGGCCTGGGCCGCCGGCTGGCTGCTGCTCTGCGGCGGCCCGTCCCGCTCGGGGGGCCCCGCCTCGGGAGGCCCGGCAGCGCCCCTGCTGCCGGCAGCGGCGGGCCGCGCCTCTGGCGACGCCTCGGGCGGGCCTGTCGGCCTGTCCGCGGCCCGGCCCGCGGCCCGGCCCTCTGGCGAGTCTGGCGCGCGCATCCTCTGGGGGAACCAGAAGGCGCCGAGGATCGCAACTCCCCGGACCTCTCCCAGACCAGGATCTCGAGGCGAAGCCAGCGGAGGCGACGAGGGCCTCCGAGGAGGCCCACAGAGAGGCGGAGACGAGAGAGGAGGGCAGCAGTACTACTGGCACCTCTTCCTCCTCGGATCCTCGTGCCGGTCCGGGCCGCGGCCGCCATCCAGCCGCCGCACGGGAGCGCGCAGCCCGAGAGCCCCTTCGCGGCGCCCTCCTGCGGCGCAGCCCTGGGCTGCCGGCTCCTGGCCGGCTGGCTCTGGCTCCGGAACCGCGTGGCCGCCGCCACGGCGCCCAGCCTCGGGACCGCCGTGGCCTCGCCCGCCCCCGCAGCGGGGCCCTCGCCCGCGCGCGCCGCCGCGGCGGGGCCCGGGGGGCCCTCCTCGCATCGCCCGCCGCCCGGCGGCGCAGCCGGCGGCGCGCCGAGCCCAGCGCCGGGCTGCGGGGGCCCCTGGGCGGGGAGGGCCTGCGGCGGCCCCCCGCGGGGGCTGCGGCGGGGCTCTGCGAGGCCGCACCGGCCGCCGGAGGACCGCGCACGCGCCGAGGCACCCGGCGGCGGCACGGGCGCCGCTGCCTCGCGGGCCGCCCCGCCGCAGGGGTCGGGCGGCTCGCCGCGGGGGCTCGGCACGCTCGCGCTGCGGGGGGTCTTCACGCTCGGCCCGGCGCCGCCCTGCGTCGCCCCGGCTGCCTCGGAGATGTGCTGCCGCACCCACGGGTGCTCGGCCGCCATGCCGAGGTCGAGGCGCCCGCGGGGCTCCTGGAGGGCAGGGAGGGTACGCCCCACAGGAGCACAGACTGTCGGAGGTCCGCGCGGGTTGCTAGGATCTGCTCCGGGCCCCCCCTCCCCGGCGCGCGGAGGGCGCCAGAGGCGGAGCCCAGGGGCGCCGCCAGGGGGCTCCAGCGCAGATCCGAGAAATCCGCGCGGACATCCGGAAGCTTATGTTTATGCCACTTCTTTTCCGATTGAGGGGGGGGGGGAGAGAGAGAGAGAGAGAGAGAGAGAGAGAGAGAGAGACAGAGAGAGAGAGAGAGACAAACAGACCGACAGACCGACAGACCGACAGACCGACAGACCGACAGACCGACGGACCGACAGACCGACAGACCGACAGACCGACAGACCGACAGACCGACAGACCGACAGACAGACAGACAGACAGACAGACAGGCAGACAGACAGACAGACAGACAGACAGACAGAAGGACGGACGGACGGACGGACGGACGGACGGACGGACGGACGAACAAACAGACAGACAGACAGACAGACAGACAGACAGACAGACAGACAGAGGAGAGAGAGAAAGAGGGAAACGAACCAAAAAAAAATGAGGGGAAGCAGGACGAATGGCACCTTCACGAGCAGTCTGCCCACCAGGTCGCGGGCGGAGACCGAGACGTGGTGGGGAAACTCGTATGCCACCTTCGTGATGTTGGCGATCATCTGCAGGTGGCTCACCGCGGCGAACGGCGAGCGCCCGACCAGCATCTCAAAGAGGAGCACACCTGGCGGCTCGGAGCTGGCGAGGGGGCCCGCAGGCGGTTCCGGCCAGCATAGAAAAGGGGGAGACACGGGACCCCACGGCGGGACGCGGCTCGAAAAACTCGTCAGCGTCGACCCTGAAGGGGTCCACGGACCGATTCCTCCTCCTCCTCCTCCTCCTCCTCCTCCTCCTCCTCCTCCTCCTCCTCCTCCTCCACCACAAGGGTCAGCGTCGACCCCGGAAGGGACCGACTTCGAGCGGACTTGACCTTGCCTCCCCCTCTTGGCAACTTTGGTCGGGGTCCGTACAGCGCAGACCCCAGGACGCTTCCAACCTGCGGCCCACACGTCCACCATGCAGTCGTGGGGCTCGCTGGCCAGCATCTCCGGCGAGACGTACTCCATGGTGCCGCAGAAGGTGCGGCGGCTCACGCCCTCGAGCATGTTGCACCAGCCAAAGTCTGCCAGCTTCAGCTCGCCCCCCTCGCAAACGAGTATGTTCTCCGGCTTCAGATCCTGTGGAAACCAGAAGACACCGATACCGCAACTATCTGGACCTCTCTCAGGGTGCGCTCCGACCAGAATTTCGAGGCGAACGCAGCCGTGGCGACAAGGGCCTTCCAGGAGGCCCCAAAAAAGGCGATTACCCCAGCAAAAAACCCTGATAGCGGCAAAGGTGCAGGAGGCGGGTCGAAGAGTGGGAGGTCGGCTATGGCAGACAGGGATGAGAGCACGGCCATGCGGACCCTGGGGTATTTTTACCAGGGGCCGTGGCCGTCCGAACCAAAACTGTAGCCAGCATCGAGGCGGGAGCACGATTCTGGAACAACGTGTAAGGGAGTCTTAAGCGAAACGGCTGCCAGACCAAACGTCCTAGGGAGCCCCGTGCCCCCTGTGGGCCTCACCACCATGAAAACCTGCAGCGGGACTCTGCCAGGGAAAAACAGAGGAAGGGAAGCGGTGTCGGTACCTTTACCTCCCCTCAGATCCCGGTGCATGAAGCCGTTGCAGTGGAGGAAGTGGACGGCCTCCGCCACGCTGCGGAACATGCCCGCGGCCAGGGCCTCGGGGAGGCCCAGCCGCTCCTGGCCAGACGCGGCGGCCTCTCTCCCGTGGTCCCTCAGCAGCTCGAAGAGCGACCCGTTGGACGCGTACTCCAGGAGCAAGTGGATGCCCTCCTGAGAGCCCCGATCTCCGACGACCCAACTGTTTCAATCCCGCGGTTTTCCCTCGATTGCGGCCCTCAGGGGCCAAAGTCGGGCAAAGGAACCGTCAAACATGGGCCCGGAACGAAAAACTACCCCCAGGGAAGCGGTCGGGACTTCTGCTGCCGCGGAACAAAAAACAAACAAACAAACAAACAAACAAAAAGAAACGGCGGATGTCGGGGTAAGCACTCCGCGGGGCGGGAGGCTGGGAGAGGCTCGGGACGTTGACGCTTGGGAATGGGAACGTGGCTAGCGTGTGGTGGCCGAAGCGTGGCGGGCCAGAGCCAGCGGAGCGACACGCTGGGCCCCTCAGCACGAAGCCCAACCCCCAGAGCTCCAAGCCGCACCGAGAACTGCCAGGCACAACGCGTCGTCTCTGCTGGTCCATCGCCCGTCCAGTCTGATGGAGGGGTCTGGGAGCGGAAAGGCTCGGGGGTGACCTTCCCCCGTTTCTGCTGCCCCGCCGACTCCTGACTCTCGAAGCACTTGTACAGCCGCAGGATGTTCGGGTGACGGAGCTTCTGCTGTGCAGCGATTTCCCGCTCGACGTTCGCCAAGAGATCGAACTCGAGTACCTTCGTCTTGGACATCACCTTCATCGCGAAGAACCTACCTGTGCCCTTCTGAACGACCCTGCTCACGGAACCGATCGCGCCACACCCCAGGGGCTTCCCGACCACCTCGAAGTCGTCCAGCTCGAAGTCCTTGCGCTGAGGGGGGATCGAGCTCCTCGCCAGGAGCACGAAGTCGGAGTGGACGGGCTCTGGGCCTTCGTGCTTCATCTTCGCCGCCCGGGTGACGCAGGCCTCCTGCACATGCACGCGGGCGTCTGGAGCCCCTGCGGCGGGCAGGGGCGGGGCCAGAAAGGCAGACGTGTGTGTGCGAGACGCCTGCCATGGGGCGCCTGGGGCCAAAGTGGCTGCGGGGAGGGCGAGGACGAGCAGTGGCAGCACGTGCCCAGGCTGGCTCTGTTCAGCGTGGTGACCGCGTGGGCCTCCAGCGCCCTCGACCGCTGCGTGCGTGCATGGATTTCTGGCGGCTTGCTTTTGCAGGCTCCAGGGGCCGCCGCGTGCTGTTTCTTCTTAATTCCTGCTTAAACACACTGGACTCGTCAAGCGAATTAGCTCCCCGGCAGCAGCATCAGCCCGTCTAGACAGTGGCCGATCTGGCTGGGCGGGAAAGGTGGCACTGCCATCGTGGCTGCCACCTCCAGTGGCCGCAGGCGAGAACCGCAGGACGCTCATCGCAATCCAGCAGCCCTCAAGGGCTGAACTGGATGCTGGAAGTCTGGGACGCTTGACAAAATGAGCGCCGTCCTGGCTATTCCCATGAAGCTGGGAGCACACCGGGCGGAGACGCCAGGCGAACAGGAAAAAGTGCGACACCAGGATCCCATGGGAGGTCTGGAGAGAGGGAGGCCTTCTGGCGACCTCCCACTGGCCCTTCCCAGGAGGTCGCCAAGACGGACCCAAGAGGCCCCCAAGACAGCCGCAAGACGACCCCGAGACGGCCCAAGGGACTTCCAAAACAGCCCTAAAGTGCCCAACTGCACCACCAAGACGGCCTGCAAAGGCCCCCAAGACGACGACATCCGAAGGCGTCACTCTGCGCCAGTGCGTGCGCGCGGCCTGCCCGCTCCTCCTCCTCCTCCTCCTCCTCCTCCTCCTCCTCCTCCTCCTCCTCCTCCTCCCTCCCTCCTCCTCCTCCTCCTCCCTCTCCTCCTCCTCTCCTCCTCCTCCCTCCTCCTCCTCCTCCTCCCTCCTCCTCCTCCTCCTCCTCCTCCTCCCTCCTCTCCTCCTGCTCCTCCTCCTCCTCCTCCTCCTCCTCCTCCTCCTTCTCCTCCTCCTCCTCCATTCCTTCTCCATAAAATTCGCTGGCCCAACGAGCCAGAGGCGTGCTAAGATCTCCGGTAACTGGTTAACAATATTTCTACTCCGCGCGCGCGGGGCTGCCCCCAGGGGTCCCCCGACGAAAAGTACCCCGGGACGGTCCCGGGACGCTCGGGCCAGAGATGGTTTTCCGTCTGGGCGCCGCCCTCGAGGCCCTACAGAGAGCCCCAAGAAGGGCCGCGAGGCCGCCAAGAGCCCCCCAAGATGGTTCAAGAGTGCTCCGAGATGCCACACGCTCGCTTCAAGACGCCCAAGATGGCTCCCAGACGCCCCAACAGGCCCACAAGAGGCGTCCCAAGAGGGCCCCAAGAGGCAAAAATCGTCCTATTCCTTAAGCAAACTGTGCATTCTTAGCATATTCGCCACTTGAGCTTTCATAACGTCAAAAGCGCCCCAAGAGGCCTCCAAGATCGCCCCAAGACGGCCCACGAGGCCCCCAAGAGGGCCCAAAAACCGCCCCAGAGGGCCCCAAGACGACCCAAGAGGCCTGCAAGACAGCCCAAGAGGCCCCCAAGACGGCTCCAAGAGGGGGTCCAGACAGGAGACCCGCACGGATATTTCGAGCCCTCGGCCCCGAGAGGCCCCCAGGAGCGCCCAAGAGGCCCCCGAAAGGCTCCCAAGAGGCCCCAAGAGGCCCCCAAGAGGCCCTAAGATGCCCCCACGAGGCCCTCAGGAGGCCCCCAAAGGGCCCCCAAGCGGCCCCAGAAGGTCCCCCTAATGCCCCCCCAAGCACGCAAGCAAGTGCCAGCGATGCTACAATATGGGCCGGCGGAATGAGCGAAGCGATTGAGTAACTTGTCCCTGTCGCACCCCGAGGCCAGATTTTAGGGCGGGCCAGGCGTTTCGCGTAAGACATCCTCACCACTTATGACACTGAAGCTTACACATTGGCAACAGCTTCACGGATGAAGGGCGGGTCGCTTTCAAAATGTGGCTCTCGCCACAGCGCCTCGCACATTCGTTTTCAAAATTGGAAACAGCTTAACGGATAGAGGGCGGGTCGTTTCAAAATGTGGCTCTCGCATTAGCGCCGCGCACATTCGTTTTCAAAATTGGCAACAGCTTAACCGATTGAGGGCGGGTCGTTTTCAAAATGCGGCTCTCGCCTTAGCGCCGCGCACATTCGTTTTCAACATTTGCCAGAGCTTAACGGATTGAGGGCGGGTCGTTCTCGAAATGAGGCTCTCGCCTTAGCGTCGCGTACATTCTTGCTTAAAAAATGCACTACAATAGTTTCACGGATTTACCTGGTCGACGTGCCAGGGATGGTGTTTTGAAAGGATTCACGATTTTGAGGGCCCAACAGTTACGATGATTCGCGAAGTTGAGGTCGCAGGGATGGAGTTCTGGCACGATTCAGGATCGTCAAGACGCAACTGTCAGGTTCATCCGTGGCGTTGGGATACCGAGAATATTTGTTTGGCATGCTTCAGGGTCTTCAAACGGTTGTTTTCCAACGAGGCAGGTCCCTCTGTGGAAATGAACCGTTGTAGGGGCCTATGGAGAGGGAGCTTGGGGCGAGGGGTTATTCCAACATCGTTGGTGACTCTTGGGTTCACACTGGTCCTCCTCCTCCTCCTCCTCCTCCTCCTCCTCCTCCTCCTCCTCCTCCTCCTCCTCCTCCTCCTCCTCCCCTTGCTCGCCTGGCCGCGGCAGCTGGCCGCGGAGCAGAGGCAGCCTCGTCCTCCGCCTCCTCGCCCCTCCTCCCCCGCCTCTTGCCTGTGGCTGCAGATCCCCTGGCATGCCGTGCGGGAGCTCTCTGCCTCCTTCCGCTGCTGCGAGGGCTCCTTCTCCTCCCTCCCTCCCTCCCCAGCGGACAGAGGGGCGACCGCGACGGCGACGCCGTCGGCCACGCCGACGACGATGGCGATGGCTGACGGCGGCGGCAACGGCGGCGACCGCAGCGGCGACTCGACAACGGCGGCGACGGGGGACGAGGACCGAAGGCGCTGGCGACGACGACACGACCAGGGGGGGCAGGCAGGAGGAGGGCGGCCCAACCCGGAGATCTCCGAGGATCCCCGAAGTCCCCGGAGGTCTCCAGAGGCCTCAGGAGGCCGAAACCCAGCCAAGCACGTCCAGAGGCATTGAATCTCCTCCGCGCCGTGCGACCGAAGTCCGCTCAAAACTGGTTCCAATACCCCCTCGCTGGGGTCCATCCTGGCCAAACTTTCATCCCCGATCGATTTCTGGTGGACCCCAACACTCCCAGAGGCCGAGACTCAGGAAACGAATATCTTGCGCGGCCTGTCGCTGCCGTTCGCCATCTTCCCTCTCCCCCGTCCTCCTTCGTGATGATCCGTCAGCACCGAGTCGAGATGCACCGAATCGGAACATGCATCGGACCAGGCCGCATCAGCACGGAATCGAAAGCGAATCGTACCGGCTGCGCCCAGGCACACAGCTGCGCCTTCCGGGCACCGGGCCGCGCCGATCCCCACGAAAAAAACGAAGCCGCATCGGACCGAGCCGGCGAACCGGATCGCCCGAACCGCGACGGGCCCCGCCTGCGGCCGCTGAGGCGGCGGGCTCGGGCCTGAGGGGGAAGGTTTGTCGGCGGCGAGCGAGGGGGGGAAGCGAGAAGGAGAAGGCCTTCTCAGAAGGCGGCGGGACTTCTCGGAAGCCCTCGCACCTTCTGAGAGGCTTGACGAGTCTTCGGGGAAGGCTTCGCAAACCTCTCAGAAGGCGGGGGGCCTTCCGAACCTTCTGAGAAGGCCTTCTCCTTGCCACTCCCCCCCGCGCTCGCCGCCGCGTTATGGGAGGAGCGGCTCAGGGGGGAATACATCGCCGACGGATCGGCGACAGGCTCCCGACAAGGCCCCCGATAGCGGATCCGCACGCTCCTGGGCGGAGGTGGCGAAATCGAGTCCCAAGTCGGCGATGCATGGGCGATCGGGGGTCGCTGCATCCCTCCCTGAGCCTGCCCCCTCGCCGTCCGGCCTTCGGGTCAGAGCTCGGGTCTCCGACGACCGTTCGGGACGATCTGGGCACCCTCCGAAGCCCTCCGGCGAGGCACAGCCGCTGGAACGCACCGCGAGGCCGAAACACCGACGAGAGACCACGAGAACGCCCGCGGACCGCGAGAGACCATCTCCCCGTCGCGTTGCCCGTCAAGATGGAGGAGCCTCCATGATTCGGGTACACGCAAGAGTGACCCTGGGTAAGAGTGACCTTTGGTGCGCGGCTTTTTGGGGGCCGCGTGGGGACCAAACCTGGGCGCGCAAGCCGTTGCTCCTGGTTCGTTTTCAGCCATCTGGGGACCCATCTGTGCCCGCACCAATGGTCACTCCGGCGAAAGGTCCCTCTCACGACTAGTCGAATGATGGCCTCCTGAACCTGTCCACCCTGACGTTGCCCGTGAGGAGCCGAGGCGGAAGGCTCGGCCCCGCCTGACCGGCCCGAGACCCCGCCGCGGAGGCTCGCGGGGATCCGCCGCTCCCGGCCAGGTCCCCAGGCGCGCGCGCCGTCTGGCCGAGGACGACGGCGACGGCGGCGACGCGGCGACGACGACGACGACGCCGACGGACGACGGCGACGGCGACGGCGACGCCGAGGGACGATCACGGTGACGACGACGACGACGACGACGACGACGACGACGACGACGACGACGACGACGACGACGACCACGAGCACGAGCACGGCGACGACGACGACGACGACGACGGCGACGACGACCACGACCACGACCACGACCACGACCACGACCACGACGACGACGACGACGACGACGACGACGACGACGACGACCACGACCACGACCACGACCACGACCACGACCACGACGACGACGACGACGACGACGACGACGACGACGACGACGACGACGACGACGACGACGACGACGGCGGCGGCGGCGGCGACGACAACGACGACAACAACGAAGACGACGACGACGAACGGCGGCGGCGGCGACGACGACGGCACCAAAGATGAAGACCTTTGCATTTCCTGTATGATGCGGCGCACGCTTCGAAAGCGTAATATCATTGTGCAGACCGCGGTTTGAGCTTGTGGCGTCTGGGCACTGGTCGCGTGATGTCAAGGGCCGCTAGGGATTTGCGATTTCCTCGCACACACACACACACACACACACACACACACACACACACACACACACACGCGCACGCACGCACGCACGCACGCACGCACGCACGCACGCACGCACGCACGCACGCGCGCGTAAATCGGCTGCGCAGAGGATCCTCTGGCGCGAACAGCAGGTGGAAGTGCTAACTGCGACCGAACACTGTCGAGGCACAGTGTCCAAAACGTGCACTGTCACTGCAGCCATGGGTGGTGTGAAGGAGGAGCTGCAAATCCAAACGAAACATTTAGCGGCCAGAAAACCGAGGAGGTAGCTCAACTCGAAGTGA